AGAGAGAGAGAGAGCGAGAGACAGTGCACTGAAAACTTGAGTGGCCGGCCTGATGACCATGCAGCCTGGCACACTGTTGTGGGGGCGTTTGCTTCATATCCCTTATCCTATGTCTTCATAAGGCTGCCAGGTCTGGAACCACCTTGAACCACGAATGAACCGCGGAATGTCCAGGCTTGCAGGGACCGAAGGCTGGAAACCAAGTTCATCTAGAAGCCGCAGTGTGGCAAAAGTCAACCCTTCCGTGAGTTCTGAGCTTGCTGGCGAGCAACGGAACTTGTCGAAGTTCAGCGGTCCACTTCCGGTTTCGTCTATCTGCCAACAGACAGTCATGGATACTCTTTCTTTCAACAGGACGTCGAGTCAGCATTGACAAGCGCACTGTCTTCTGCCACTTGCGATGCATGGCTACAACGGTGCTGGCACGGCACAGCCTGAGCAATCATTCGGCCAACTTCCTCTTTGGAGTCCTTGAAACCTAGCTCCCTCATCACAAGGTGCAGCTCCTGCAATGTGCCAGACTGGAAGTCAATGAGACTCGGCGCTCGGTTCTCACGTCCTTGGCATTGATCTCGCCGGATCCATCGGAATCACACAGATCAAAGGCTGCCTTGACCTCCTAAGCCACCAGACGCCACCAGCAGAGCCCTGGCATCGCCCTCGACCCGCCTTCAGCATCTCCTGGCTGAGCTGCTCGTCAGCCTCCGACGAAGACGAAAACCCTCAGCGCTGCGACGCCGCGACGCTGCGACGCTGGAACTTTCCAACCTCCGTGAAGCTGAGATCCTGCAGGACAGGGGGAACCTCACAGGCTGAAACTGCCTTCTCATCGTTCCCACGGTCCTGCATCACCTGCTTGCTCGACAGGGACCAGGAGCGATGCAGTCTCGGGCCTCATGGCGGATGAACACAGAAGGTACTTGGCAGAGCACAAGGCCAAGGGCAGCACCCCCAGACGATCGCTCCTTAGCCGAAACGCTTCTCTTCACACTCACAATCTGCTCACATCTGTGGCGTTGTGCAAACCTTGTTCTGGCTCGTAAGGGTCAACTCTAGCCACGTTCCCTGTTCCGTTTCAACCTGGACTCATGGCTACAGAATGGGCCGGGCCCAAATGGACCAAGACGGACGCACGCCAGGTCGCTCGGGAGACGGATCCTTTAGACGGGAGCGGCCTCTATGTCAGCATCCTCCGTGCCGTTGCTCTCCACTTTCCTTTGCAAGAGGACAGCTGGCCAAGTGAGCTTCAGGCTCCCGAAGTTCGGTCCCCCAGCAGGGAGCCACTTGTGCTTGTGAAGCTCACCAAGGATCAGCTCCATTGGATATGCATACGGCCACCAACTGTTCTGGAATGAGCAGCAAGCATGTCCTGTGGTCATCTTTGTGTTCCTGAAGGCTACGTCGTAGTCTTGGTCATAGTCATCTTTAGCACACTGGACATCCGGGCCGCTCATGACTTTGAGACCATTGAGGATACCCTCGGTCACCTCCTTTCCCACTCCTCCCAAACACACCTTTCCGGGCCAGTTTTGGTCCTTGATGGCCACAAGGGCTGTTTCAAAAGGAGTGCCGTCATACTCCCAAAAAAAGGTTGGCCATGAGGCACCCATGCCTCCGAAGCTCGGACAAGCGATCAACTTCCAGCCTTGCTTGCCCATTGTCCGCGTCAGGGCCATGATGCTGTCGTTCCTTGGGAAGTATGCGGTTTTGAAGCTGAAGGCCTGGTGGCCGGTGGTGATCGAGGTGTTGCGGATGACCTGCTCCCAGTCGGCGTCATACTCGTCTTTCGACAAAGCCACTTGATCGTGCCCTTTCACAGTCCTCAACGCCCCATGCAACAGCTTTGCCACCTCACCTGTGTGGGACGGCGAACCTGAAAGGCAAAGTTTGCCTGGGATGTTCTGGTCCTTAATCGCGGCCAAGACGAGGGCAGGAGGAGACGATGGAGGATTCAGCAGGCGTTTGAAGATGAAGCACGGCCAATCCACGTTGTTGCCCCCGAAACTGGGCGCGGACACCAGCCGCCATCCAATCTTGTAGACCTCTTCCATCAGGCCGTAAAGGACGTTGCCTTTGGGAAAATAAGGTTTAGCCAAGCTGAAGGCCTGCATACCAGAAGTTATCGAGGTGTTGCGATAAACCACGTCCCACTCTTGGGCTGTGTCGTAGTCATCGAAACTCTCGGTGGCTTCCGGGCTCAGCTGCTTCAGTCTGCTGGCAAAGTCGCCCTTGAGTTTGTCCTCTGAGTTCAGAGTTAGCACTGAATGCTTGAGACAACTCGACTCAACTCGACGCTTAATGTAGACCAGCGGCGACTGCATCGGGAGGACCACAAATGCAGAGCTTGCCTGGGATGTTCTGGTCTTTAACGCCGATGAAGAGCGTTTCCCTGGCATAGATCTGCTCGACGTCCTGGGCCAGCTGCGGGAGCTGCGGTGTTTGGAGGGCATGAAACGTGACACATGCACTGTCACATGCACTCGGATCGCGAGCCTTTTGACAGATGAACATTGGCCATTCCACAGAGACCTTGTCGTCGATGGGGCCCCCGTAACTGGGCGCCGCTGAAGGAATCCATCCATGTTCACCCAGGGCATCCAAGAGCCCCACCACCTCTGCAAAGATTGACGACTGTGCCAGATAAACTTTGCACCTCCCCTTTAATACTAGTAAAGGGCTTCCTACAAAAAACTACCAACACATCACAAATCATGCCGTCTCGAAACATTGCGACCAATCGGGAAGAACGGCTGTTTGAGCGATAGGAATTGGTATCCACTGGTCATCTTAGTATTATGCCATGCAACATCCCAGAGCTTGTCATGCTCATCCGAGGCCCGAGTCACCCCCGCATTCGTCTTCTTTAGAGCTGTATCGACGGATTCCAGCAACTGCGGCTCACTGGCTGCAGCACCACTCAAGTATACCTTGCCTGTCATGTTCTGGTCCTTGACTCCCACAATAAGGAAGGCTTTACCAAGCCCATTGCTGCGTGTCTTCCCTATATACGCAGCGGAAGCGGGATGGTCAACATTTACAGATCCGCAGCACCCCATGGCTTCAAGGATTCCGGCGTGCAGCCAATTCGACTTGGCAAAAGACAACACTTGACATGAAAGCACAGACACGTTTGGATTCGATCCAAGTCACGCAAGGCTTCTCTCCCACAGCTTTGTATCGCAACAAGGCTTGTCGAGCTGACTCACACTATCTGAGGCCATGACTCCTTTTGCCCCTGGTCGATTGCTTCTCCTGCAGATCAAGCACTCAATTCGCCGATCCGTGGTGCACGTTTCATGAGCTTGACAGAGCTTGACGACGATCCTGCGTCCACATAGCCACTGCATGAGATGCTTTCGTCAAGCTGGCTTTCAGTGCTTGCTTCTGCTCTCCGGCTCTCGATCAGTGCACAGGCTCCTTAAAGATCTTTTACATGGCTTACAGGATGGATCCCAAGCTGCTTTCGACACACCGAAGGCTGAGAACCGAAATGGCGCATCGACACATGACACCCGGACGACTACCAGTCACCAGTGCAGAAGGACACGGCTGGGCAAGTCACGCCACAGGCATCCGGAGCTCGCCTGGACAGGCCATGGAAGCTTCATCTCGCTGGCGTGTGGAGCTCAAGGGCCGAACTCAAGAACTTGAGCACAGCAGGTCCAACCTACAGCAAGCATCGATCCGAGTCTGCGACAGACTGTCGCGAGGCGACGAGAAGCTAAGTGCTCTGCGACTGGCTGGCCACCGGCGCTATGGTGCCCCACACCAACGACCTGGTTGCACAACTTCCAACAGTCATAGGTCTGGAGGCGGGTTTCTACAAATGGAACTGAACCACATAAAGCTGAGCTCTTGACGATGACGAGGTCAGCCAAAATTTGCTTTCCAAGGCAAGCGTTGACGAGTATCTCCAAAAGCGAGGCCTCAACCTCAAAGAGCTTCTTGAGGCTTCTGGGAATGGTGGGCTCAGGACATCTGCCGACTGCTGACTGTTCAGACCAACAGAACCAAACGGCGCTTGCGGTCCTGTCTTGCACTCGGGAGCTGGCAGCGAGTTTCGCTTGCTCCGCAAGCAGGCCATGCAGGTCGATTACCCCAGCCTTGGCTCCGATCACACAGAGACGCCTGGGCCGACGCACATGCAGCGGCCTCGAAGCTGTGCAGGTGGCATGCGGCCTCGGCTTCCAGCTATCTCGTGCAAGACAGGCACCCAGGCACGTCTCTAGGCATCAAGCTCCCCTCTCGCAAGCCTCTCTGTACAGGGCAAGCGCCTGCTCGTGCCATAAGATCGATCAAGGAACCCAACACGAGGCTCAAGATGCAAGTATGAACATGCTCAGTGCTGCTAAGTCAAAAAGAAAGCCATAGTCGAACAACTGCCTTGCCTTTGAGCGCTGGACAGCATCCATGGAGGCAGCAAGAACTGCCAAGGTGGCCGCGCTAAAGGCGAATTCATCAGGCTCCTCCTGCGACGGGTGGCAAGGAAGGTCTACCGGGAGCGCCGAACCGACAGTTCGTGAAAAGGCATCTTCTCTGCTTCTCGGCAATCCGCTCTCTGCAGGCGAACTGTGAGCCCTCGGAGAAGCTCGGGATCGCGGCTGAGGCTGGAACCGCCTGCTGAAGGAGATGAACAGCAGACTCCCAAAGAGCCCCGCACAAGCATGCCTGCAGATCCCAGTGACGATGGATTTTTTTGACGCACCTATGTGGCAACTGACGGCACTCGAACGCATTCGCTGTCCTGGATCGCAACGTTCCAGGTCTGACGCCCAGGGCTGAGGTGTATGGAAGCCATTTCCTCGTCCCGAAATACTTCGGGAGCTCTCTTGAAAGGCGAAAAGGGGCTCCTCGAAGAGCAATAAGGCACGCTGCCACTGCTCCGCCTGGCAGAGGGCTGCTTGATGTGAAGGCGGATCTGCCCGTCCAAGACTGCTTTGGTGGCTGATTGGTGGCTGGCCAACCCCACCCAATCCCGCACATCACCCTAAACACCTCCACCCAAGCCCCATCTCACCCACCCAGCAGCCCATCCTGCACACCACCCACCCAGACCCACTGCACCGAAGCAGCCTAAAGATCCCTTGTACAACCCTCACCCCTTAGCCTTAATGCACTCGCTCTACTGAAAA